CCCTCCCTCCCTCCTTACTCCCCCCCAAACCCGCCTGCATCCCTGCAGAGACTTTTGGAATGAGAAACAAAGTATGAAAAACAAAGTTTTCTCACTTTTGTGACAAGTTCAGAAAAAAAAGCCATTCAGTCACAGTCTAGCTGGATTCGGTGAACTGCTTCTTGTTGACAGGTCCGTGCCTGCCGGACGGTTATCTACAGAACAATCAAAAAGAGAAACAGTAACGGGTTTCGAAAAAGGACCGCCACATCTGATCCCCCCCCAAAAAAAAATACTGAATAGTTTACCAAAACAGAGATAAAATAAGAATTTATTCAGAAGTAAAAGAACATCTTTTTTAATTTTAAATTTTAATTTACCATTTCGTGATTTATGTGTGTCATCCTTGCGCAGGGGTCATGCTAATCTCCTCTGTATCGTTCCAATTTTAACGGATGTCACGAAGGACGCTTAAAAAAAAAATAATAATAATAAAATAGTAGTCTACCAGCCAGTCCGCCCAGGTCACCTTGTTTTCCCAGGCGGTCTGGCCGTGCAAGGACCAGGGAAGGTCCCAGTAATATAAAAAAAAAAAAAAAAAAAGAAGTCCCCGAAACAAACTATGTTATGCAGAAAAATAAACTGGACAACCTTTGCCTCAGGGTCACATTGAAATTCTTTACCAAATTTAAATAAATTTGTATTTTTATTTTTATTTTTCTTGGCACGGCTGCCGGGCGGGCAAGTGGTCCCGGGCCACTCTGGTATCCTCGTAAAATATTATTTTTTATTAAATTTTTAATTAACTATTTTTTAGAAAATGTTCACCAAACTTCACCTGTTTCCGTGCTGCACATTCTTCGATCCGCATCTTTGGCATCCCTGAGATTATAGCTTTAGTCATTCCGCCAGCTTCTTCTACTTCGTTAATTATCTGAAGAGCCTTCTTCTCCAATTCCGCAGTCAGTGCTTCCATCATGTATGAGCCACCCCATGGATCTGCAACCTGCACGACTCAGACAAAAACCAAGAAACCCACCATCCGTATGTCAGCGAATGCAAAAACATTATACCGTCAATAACCGTACATAGAAAACACAGTGTGGTTAATCACATGGCATGCCCCGCAATCATGAGCTAGGGACAGAAGAAGTGAGTGGAGGCCCTCTCGCGCCTCTACATGAACCAGCTAGGGGGTTTCCTGCAACTGAAAACGACTGGAAGGCGGCGCCTACCTGGCTGAACAAGGACCCTGCTCTCATATTGAAGGGTACCACTTTCAAATGCAAGACGCCGCCAGGCCGCACAAACTCTACGTCAATGTGACGCTACCTTCTTCACGTGAATACAAAGCACGGTCTGTCGCTATAATCACCGTATGTAGTATTTGCATGAAGAAGGTGGCAGGAGTTATGCCTAATGGCTGAACAAGGACCCTCTTCACGTGAATACAAAGTACGGTCTGTATTTGGACTGAAAGATACCCCAAATACAGCTATAATCACCGTATGTCGTATTTGGATGAAGAAGGTGGCAGGAGTTACGCCTAATGGCTGAACAAGGACCCTCCTCTCATATTGAAGGGTACAACTTTTGAAACCCCTAACCGAGTTATAGGCCCATGATTTGAACAATTTGCACTCTCGACCCCCCAGATTTGAACAATTTGCACTCTCAACCCCCAAATCTGTAGTTTGGTGCTCTGTACAATTGAGCTAAAAGCCACATTCATTCTGAGGTCCCTTTCATCTAGGAGTGTATAGGACATCGCTTTTTCAGGGCAAAGACACCAAATCCCGTAGGGAATATATATGACATGATATCTAACAGATAAAAGGACCAGGTCAGGCAGGTCACTCACTCTACCGAAGACGCGGGTTCAAATCCCGTAAGTGATATACATTTATAATATATATATATCGTCACAAACATCGTCAAATAGAACTGCCCGGTAAACCGTAGGCAGAGAGGGAGAAGGAGAAGAGGACAACAAACGAGGGGCTGTGACAAACTGTTTCGTCGGAGTTTCACCGACTCATCAGGAGGCTGTATATATATATATATATATCGTCACAAATAGAACTGCCCGGTAAACCGTATATATGACATGACGTCGAACAGATCAAAGGCCCCAGGCCAGGCGGGTCACTCACACTACCAAAGCCTGTCAGTTGCATTAATTAATTTAATTGACAAAAAGTTTGAAAAAACAAAACCATACATACGCCTACAATAAATCAATTAAATTTCATGGTAGAGAACCAAAACGACGTACGATGTCCTCAAAAGCAGGGAGTTTGCCTTCGTGTTCAACAACAACAACAAAAAAAAAAAAACTCAGCTTTATGCAAAATAGATAAAGTGAGATTAACCAATCGAAATGAGGTTGTCAATCTTATCAATACATCCCAGGAGAAGGCCATAATTTAAAAGGGCAAGACGCCGCCAGGCTGCATAAACTCTAGGTCGATGCCACACTAGCAGGAGTTTGAATGTACGCCTACCGTCTTCCCCTGAACAT